CTTTCTGTTTGCATGTGCCTGAGTGCTGCAAGACTAGCAGTAGATCGGAGGAGAGACTAGAAGAGTGTGCACGGTGTACTTTGCTCTCTGCACTTCTGCCCCTGCCTGCTTTGCCTGCTTTGCCTGGTACCCTGACGAAACCTAGAGGCGAACCTTAAGGTTCACCCTCTCTAAACATCTTCTGCACTTTAAAATAAAAAGTAATAAAAGCTTGCTTCTAAATTATTGCAACAAAAACTGTCTCATTAATTGCTTAAACCTAGTTGCTGAAAATCGAGATTCACATCTTTCAAGTGGTCAGGTGAGTGACGACCCAAACAGGATGTACTCTGCTGTTCGATACCTTCCCGCAGCGGAACAACTCTAGCTGAGCATCGATGGGAGGGCGGGGGAGGGGGGGGGGGCAAATCCAGTGAGTATATTGCTATATTGTAGACGATGGCAAATTATTACGACGTATAATCAAGACCAAGAAACAAAGGCTATCATGCTATCCGACACTAACCCCCGCAGCCTTCAAATTCAACAGAGCAAATACCACCGGCTCTCAGTCTCAGTTTAGTTTAGTTCAAGCGCGCTTTAGTTTATGACGGACCCGTATCACATTGCATCTCTTAAGAACATCAGCTCGCATGGATAATAAAATAAGTGACATGGTGACGATTGAATGTTGAACCACAGCGTAATATATCCATGAAGATGTTTTAGTTAAAATATCGAAAAGCCAGGTAAAATAAAGTCTTAGTCCTATTCTTGACGATGGCAAAGCAAATCGTGCCTAAGAGAAGTTAATGCAATTTGAATAAAAAATACTACAAAAAAGCTAGCAATTTTTGAGATATGTTAAATGCAATGTTGTCTGATGAAATTTGAGAAATTTGAGTTTGCATCTACGAGTTTCAATGGAAATGATCTGAGCAGCAGGCCGAGTCGAGCCAGGAAAATTTCAGCCAATCACAAATTTCCGCGGGAAAATTTGACCAATAGAAACGATCGCCTGTTGCTTTGTACAACCCAATCCAAAAATTATATGAGCCTGGCGTCGATACTCCCCGCTTTCAGACGTCGCGTTTCAATAATTAAAAGTCGCCGCCGTGTAAAAAGGTGCAGCGTAAAGGCTGTTTCGAACGCGACCGGTCAGCACTAGTCGACGATAGGCATTGTTAGCGAAGACTGTACTTCTGACTTCCAAATTACATTTAAAAGAAGGCGCGGCGGCTAACAATGCTGCCAACCTATCGCCCTTTGCAGCTGGGGGTGCGGCTCCCAGGAGAATTTAAAAGAAAACTATGCTATGTTGGTTATACATTTATTACCAACAGCTGAATAAAATATTCTGATTCATAACCAACCACAACCACCACATAAAATCCGTCAAGTCCACATTATTCAATGTGGCTTAAAAGGGCTTCGCGTGCTTGGTGTTGGCCTATGGACAAACAAACGCTGAGACACATATAGACGTATCAAGATGCTTAAATTATGCAGATATACTATGAAGCCGCCTATTGCGAACATACGCGTTGGGCTTTAGCGGGGCGGAACGGCGCGCCAAGGTAATTTTTGCCCTACGACTTTCATTCAAATTGGTTTGATCTTAGAAAAAAAATAAGGAGTACCGTATCCAATAATTCAGATAAAAGTCGGCCCAGGACATAATTTCTACTACTTGGTTCACTTTGAGGAGGGAGTGCAGTTTACGGCCATAAGCAGAACTGGGGTCCGACATCCGCTTAAGCGCACGCGAAGCCTAATAAGCAAAAAGTGTGCGAAGCCAATTAGTACAACCAACCTAAAACAAAAATTAAATATCATATCATTTATTAGTTCTGACAACATCTAATGTTGAATAGAATATTCTGACCATTCCGACTTAAAATTAAAACCTAGGAGGCCGTTAACACGTTAGCGTTAGAATTTTTTTCTGTCATGGTGGATCCCCATAATAGGCTCAGCCAATAAGGTATTCGATAAATCATTAGCACGCGATGCCGCTTTGCACACGACAGGATATGACCAAGTTAAAGGATTTGACCAGCTGAGGCATTTCAAATTATCCTTAGGAAATATTTTATAAGACATCAAAATTACCATTGCGCCTTACGGGAGGTCCGGGTAGGCAACCCGCCGTACACCTCCAGGTTTTCCGCGCTGCCAAGGCCCTCGAAGGGCCATAACACACCTAAAAATGTGAATATTAGAACACCCTTTTCAGTTCTTGTACTGCAGGCTTCAAGGAACATTTTTAGCTGACGGGCGAGGTGATTGGTCGCTTAGTTTAGACGGGAGGGACGTGCAAAGTCAGAATTTCGAAAGAAATGACACGACACCGTTCCAGGGCCTGGCACTGGCCCTGGAAGTGCACCTAGGGGCCAACCAACGCATGGTCGGAAGTAGAAAAGTGTGAGTAGGCCGCAAAGTCCGCTATGGAGAACGTTCAAAGTCGTGGACCTGGCTTGGGACGGTGGCTTACAGTGGCCGACGGGCATAGGCTTTGAGGCAGTTGCTTCATCCACAGCACCCTGCTCCTTACACCTTATCTCGAGAACTTATGGCATCTAGCAGAGTGACTTATACACTAGAGCTTCGCGAATCGAGGTTTTTGCCTTCGAATCGAATCTCAAAAAAATTTCTTCGAATCGGATCGAATCGAATTGGCTCAAAAATTTCGAATCGAATCGAATCAGTCCAAATTCGAGCACGAATCAAATCGAAAAAAAATCTGTTGGATTTTTCGTATGCAAGTCACGCGGTATTTTTGAACTCATTTAAACTGGCCCTGTACCGTAGATGATCGACGACTGTACAACGTGTAGTGCGGGCATAGAGCGGGTGCCGCATACTAGACCCCAATGCGATTCGATGTCGAACCAACCCGATTCGAAATTTCGAATTATTCGACATCGAATCAGGCAAATTCGAAATCGAACGAATTCGAATCAGGCCGATTCGATTCGATTCGATATCGAACAATTCGCACAGCTCTATTATACACCGCTACTTATGGCAACTTACACGGCGAATTATACACCATACTTATGGCAATTTGCCCCTCCCCATGTCACGTCAGCCCGTTGTTATTGGTGATAAGTAAACAACGTATGGTTCCTCTCACAAATGCGCACACTGCTTCACAAGGTTCTAAAAGCATTTAAAAATATGTCGAAGCCAAAGCCAAGCCAGAGCACGTCGTCATGCTCCAGCAGCCAGGGCTCTGGATCCTCCAGCGGCTCGGACTCCACACCAACTCTACTGTGGCTGAAGTAAGTTGCAGTGCCCGCTTAACTAGGCCCAAAGGCTGACCACCTCCAACGGGGTCTTTTGGTTAGAGCGCCGCGTGCCGCCTTCGCTTCAGATTCACGTGTCGGCTCGCAGCTGACTCATCGAGTGCTTCACCCATTGTATCCTTGTCCAATCTGTTTTACTAGTGAGAGCCCTCCTGAGTCAGAGTGCGCCCTCGTGGTCCCCGCGCCCTCTTCTGGATCCTCCAGCTCCTCCGGTGCGTCCAGCCCCAACCCCGCTCTCCCCTGCCCCACCAACTCAGGAGCTTCCATCTCCTTGAACCCGGACACGGACCTGGACCGCCGCAGTAACTTTCTATTCCGATGGTTTCGGTGAGTAAAAGTTATATTTCCGCTAGACCACGCTTACAGACAATTTATAGGGTGGACCAGAGGCGCTAACGAAGGTGCACTATGAGTCCGATTGGCATTCGCATGTACGCGTTAGAATTGACCATAACTCACCGGGATCGGGACTTTTGGGAATGGGGCCTATACCCCTGTAAAA